TGCCAACTTCATGGAGATTTCATCCTTCAACCTCCATTGCCTCTTCACCTATCAATCATGTCATGGTCATTTGATACTCATGGTTTATATGTAATTGGACCTTTCACGCTAGCATCCTCAGAGGGTCAAAAGTATATTTTGGCTGGGACAAACTATTTTTCAAAATGGGCTGAAGCGGTACTTTTCAAAGAAGTAAGAGCAGAAGATGTCACAAACTTCATAAAGAACCATATAATCTACCGTTAAAGAACCATGACGAAGTTGATGGAAAAATACAAATTCTGACATGGATTCTTAGCAAATTATAATCCATCCTCAAATAGCCAAGCATAAGCCTTTAACAAAGTGCTTTGCAAAATTCTAAAGAAAATGGTGTCAAAGAACAGGAGAGATTGGCATGAACACCTCTCAGAAGCTCTATGGGCTTATAGAACCACAGTGCGAACTGCAGCAGGTTGCACATCATACAGTTTGGTTTTTAGCTCTAAGACTGTACTCCTATTAGAAGTGTAATTACCATCTCTCAGAATTGCTACTCAAAATGTCTAAGTGAGACTAGCTGAGCTTGAAGCATTGGATGAGAAAAGGCTCACAGTACAACAAAAGCTCAAAATTTACCAAGCCCAAGTGGCAGGGGCCTTTAACAAAAAGGTCAAATTTAGATCCTTCATGGTCGGAGAGTTGGTCCTTACAATCAGAAGACCAGTTGTTATAACAAGAAGGATGCAAAGTAAATTCGAAGCAAAATGGGAAAGACCATATGTCATCACTAAGGTCATTCCAAAAGGGGCATATGAACTTTCTGATTCAGAGGGTCACTGCATTTACCCCTATGTAAACAGAAATTCTATGCCTAAATGGGGAGGTACGCCTCCTAACACATAACCTACAGAAGAAAGATAATAGCATAAGCACATAAATAAAGTAGAGTGAACTACAAATGGCTTGATTCCTGAAAGGGGTACGTAGGCAATCCGGTAATAAACTGAATGTAGCCACAAAATAAAAAAATAAAAAAACACATTTGTTCCCCCATAGAACTACGGAAGGCCTGATTCCTGTGAAAAGGATACGTAAGTAATCTAGTATAAATTGGATGCAACCACAAAATCAAAACAAACAAATTACCCTCTCTTATTCAATTACTCAAATTGAAAAAAATGTCCAAATACATGCTAGTTCAAAATGAGCATAATAAATCTAAAAATAGGAAAAGCCAAATCCTAGTGACAAAAAAAGAAATAAATTTAAAGAAGAGACAAAGAGGGTGTCTAAATGAAGAAAAAGGAGGGACGAAATCATCATCAGTCTTTCTTGAAGAATACAGCCAAAGAGTCATATATCTTCTGAGATTCCTGCTCCTGAGACCTCGCTTCAGTTGTAGCTTCTTGAATTTTGATAAACCTTGCAACCTTAGCTTCAACCTGTAGTTGCCTGATTTCATCACCATTCTTTATTTATTCATCTAAAGAATTCTTCAGCTGGGAAACTGCATCTTTTACGAATTTTAGTCGATCTTCATATGAACGTCACAATTACTGCGCCTTCTGCTCAGCTTCTTTTACTTCTGCCTCATAAGCCTCAATATTCTCTGTAGCTTATTGAGCACTTGGAAGATTGCTAGACAAAATATCCATAGCAGTAAGATGCTCCTTTTCACGATGAATCAAATCTAGAATTAACCTTTCGTTCATGGAAGCTTTCTCTTCAATAAAAGGAGAAAAAGTGAGTAAATGTTTCTCTGAATCAAACTAACGGTTCATGGTATCTTTAAACCATACAAACTCACCTTGAGATATTCCCTTCATATTAGTATGGAATTCTATTGTTTTGAGATACTCAGACACCTGAGAGCGATAATTTAAAGTACTCTCCGGCGATGTTGAAAGTAAAACCCAGCGATTGACTTCAACATACTGATCAAGTAATCCCGAGTAGGTTTATAAAAAATTTGATCAGTGATGGTAGAAATTCGATAAATGACTTTTGATGTAGAAGGCACGACAACTACTAATGGGGGAGGTTCATATGGGACTTCAACAATAGCCTACTCCCTGAAACTTTCAAAATCTTCAGGCTCTTCATCGTCTAGAGTCCTAATTGCATCAATTACGTGGTTATCAGGAGATGACTTCTAGAAGATCTTCAAATCTTGTTGGCTTCTTTCCCGGCCCAAAAGATGAAGTGATCATATCAGCGTCAACTTGCATATGATCAGAACTAAAAACACTAGTTTCAGTATTTTGGAATGAAGAAGAAGCAGTTCCTATATCCATATGTTGAGGTTCTAGAGACTTTGCTGGGAAAGAGACAGTTTCAGCGAATGCATAATCAGGCTCAATAATCTTTGTACGTCTCATTATTTTAGGATTCGTAGTAGCATCCACCAACGGTAATACCACCATGTGCACTGCCCTATACGGGTGGCCCTCGGTATAGGAAAATAAGTCCCAGTACATCTTTTTAAGAATAAATACCAAGCGTCGGCAAACCCATCTGTCCCACAAGTCCTTTTCGCATCAACCGTAAAATGAAACTTTTATGAAGGAACGCCTTTGTCAAAACCAAACTGGCAAGGGAATCTATTTGGATAGTATGGTTCCACAAATATAGCACCACCTACCCTCACAGGGAGTAAAGCTGCACGCATGGACAATAAAAGTTCAAATTTCTGGTCGGTTAAGTCTTCATCATCTAAGTAATCCGTATCTCTTTCTTCATGGTATGAATATGGGCGGTAACGAACATATTGTTCGTCGCGTATCATATGCCTACTTCCAGTCATAGTTCTTTTCTCAGGCTTGATTCCAGCAAATTTACGCAACAAAGGCAGGTTATTGTTGTCTTCCCAACCAAAATATAAATAAAGAAAGTGCTCAGCTAACCATTCGATGACATAGTGCATTGGAAGAAAAACACGGCTAACACCAAATCCATTCGTACCTGTGGCATACCCATTAAATATGCGATAAATGTATCCCAAAACTATGGGGGCAAGTGATACTCTCGTGCCTTGAGCCATCAAAGAGGCCACATAAAAAGTTTCAGGCCTTATGCTACCACCTTTATGTTGGTCTCCGAATTGAATTCGGATGCGGAAGCGTGGCGGGGGGACAGATCGTGTATAACAAAAATATTCATAAAACCTTTGAGATACTCTGTAGATTATATTAATTTATGCATGAATAAATTAATCTCATTAATTCATTTATTAAGAACTCAATTAGGAAAAATACCTAGAGGCTGACTCGGTTGATAACTTGAGTTCTTTAACCTCAAACAATCCTTGCTCCAAAGCTTTGTGTTTAGAAAATTAATGTCTTCCACGTGAATTCCTAGAATCCATAAAGATGTGTGTGTAGGCACACATGAGACAAAATGGGTTACAATAAACACTCGAATTTCCACAAACACCAACGCATGCACGATGTGGAATTTTTGGAGAAAAATTTTTCCTTCTCACTCTTAGAGAATTTCGGCCACCTCTAAAATTAGGGCAAAAATTCATTCCGAAAATTGTCTCAAAAATTGCATCCACAATTTTCTACTATTCTCTTATTTATAGAGTAGAAGTCAAACTTCTAGAAGGAATCCAATCTCTATCTCTAAGATAAAGCTTGTCAATTATCTCCTA